CTCGGAACAAACAGCTGTATCCTCAAAACACATCCTTGCAAACTCAAAGATATGAAAATAGCTCCCGACGAAACAATATTAACCTTTGATTTCGTGTCCCTGTTCACATATTCTCGTTAACAATTGGCCACCAAAGTCATCAGCGACTCACTAGAGAAATGGGCCGAGAATAACGAACAACCCCAAAAAGGAAGCACTTAATGGAAATACAGGAGTACTGCAAAGCCAGACACCTCACACTTTATGACCGGGTCTAGGAACAAATAAAAAGACAAACGATGGGCTCCCCAAAGTCATGCTTTCTTGCGCAAGTGGTCCTGCACGAACTAGATACGCCAGTCTTTAAATCAGACAAACCTACATTTTGGATGCGCTACGTAGACGATACTTTTTTGTCCTGTACCGAGATCCGAAAAAGGCCTTTAGAAGTAAATTGAAGTCTGTATGCCCCAAAACTCAATTTACAATGATGGAAGAAAACGGCAGGGAAACACCTTTCCTGAATTTCCGAGTGTCGACGCATGAGAATAGAATTCTATACACCAATACGGACAAATTTCCTCACTAAAAAATCAACCACCCGCTGTCGCATATACGCAGTTGCGTTCGGACACAGTTCTCCACTGCCCACACAGGCCGAGAATCAGCGAGCACGAAAGTCTTTATGGCAACTGTTCCTTTCCAATAGATACCCCTGGGGCTTCATCAGCAAATGTTTGCACCGAAGGCACACTAGGAGAGATGGGGAACATAAACAAAAGCCCGCTTTCATCTGTCCCCTGCTCTACATAAATGAAGCCTCTGAGGCTACTGAACGGATATTGACACCTTCAATGTGTGCATGGGTCACAGGCCCGTAGTTTAAATAAGGCACTTAATAATGCAGCCCAAATGGCGTGAAGACATGTCAGGAGTAGTATATCGAGTCAACTGCCTAAATAATTTGGCCAATTTCTGCGGAATAACTGACAAGCGACTAAAATCGTGCATGTATGAGCACCGCTCAGTAATAAAGCGAAAACCTGTTCTTTCGCTTGTCGGCATGTCCAGTCTCGTTCCGTTCTGCCTTTGATCCAGCTTATATTTGAGCAGGCTAACAGGCTGTCGAAGAAAAACATTTAGACGGTCGGATTAACTTTGTTGGTAACTCTTCGTTAAATAGTGCGAAATTCTTTTGCCGCACAGGAAAACCTGAACGAATAAACGCGGCATATTATATTTTGAGACACGTTAGGCAACCCTATAGCTGACGCTAAGTTGACGGCTGATAGCTTCGATGCTTTTTTCCAGAATCCTTATAAAAAATGCCTTCCCTTTGCTTCCGAACATCCTACTATGGACCAGTGCCGTCCTCGCAACCACAAGTTTTATCCTCTGGGATGTAACGTGGCCATTCGACACTGCTTGAAGGTGGCCTGGTCCCCAATATCCAGCTTGTGTCTGATCAAGCGCGTCTTTGCCAAGTTCGATGAAGTAGTCTCTGGCAAGGTCCTTGCCATGTTCTGCGACTTCAGTTGGATTTTGCCATCTAAGCCTGCAGATCTTGTACAGTCAGAGGCCGAAAAAACCCTTGAAAGAGTCCAAAGACGCCCAACCAAATTAGTACGAGGCCAATGGTGCCTCCCTTATGAGGCACACTTGGTCAATCTTAATTTGTTTCCTCTGGATTACAGGCAGCTACGCCGTGACCTTATACAGGCATTTCGCATGCTGTGGTGTTAGAATTGTTGCCTCGAATCCAATGCTTTCTTTGAGCCGGCTACTACCACTACCCTGTGAGCACACCCTGTCAAAATACTTGTGACTGGGGAAAGACTTGCCACAAATTTTTTTTCTCTAAGTGAGTAATTCAGGCATGGGATATCCTTCCTATGGATACTGGCATGTTCCCATCCGTGGACATCTTTAGGAGAAAGCTTGACCAGCACAGCCTAACGTGCCACCACGTCAGCCGAAACAACTATGCGCTTCACTGAAACCAAAGATTTAAATGCCACTGGCTATTTCAAGTAATATTACCATTTACTCGAAGCATTTTTTCCATGCATAGCCTGATAACTTTGCGCTGCCTTCTTCTCACTATGCGAACTGCAACGATCGCATCGGCAGTCGTTTCTATCGCAACTATAGCTGTAGGCTACGCGGCATTTTCACCCTTTTCTTCATATCGACTTAAAAACGGACTGTTGACGACCTTGGGTGGGTTCCTTTGTTTTTTTAACCTTATTGGCAGATGCGACCAAGGGCAACGGCGTATCATGGTCGCATCTCCGGTTATTCAGGATGTTCTTGTGACTCTACCGTCTCCTCCTCTTGTGACCATTAGGATAAAGATATTAATCGCAATGGGTCCCCTGGCTTGCCGCTAGCATTCACGGCAGCGGGCCGGTCCTATCTTTCACATAATGTTCTCCCGCGAGCGACTGTTTTTCTCCAAAAAACAACCAATGACATTCCATTTTTGAATTCGGACATATGCTCTGATTTTTTTCCCTGTTTTCTCTTTTTGCCCAGTTACACCTGCTGGCTCGTGTTAACTAACATCATCACAATTGGGCTACCAACCTTTTTGAAATGTTCAGTTATGCCGATGCATTGCCTAACTATTTTAACTAATAAGGAGTTCAAAGGCGTTTGCCTATATTTTCCTTAATAAACTTGAATTGGCTTGACATTATCGTGGATCAGATGGCATGCCGGTAAGCATTCTAAAGGCTTCCATCTAGACTTTTTATTCTGTTAACCATGATCTCCTCCTTCTCCTCCTCCTCCTCCTCCTCCTCCTCCTCCTGAAGCTTCCCTTTTGTGACATAAGTGAAAAACGTCTTAACTCAATGTCCTCATATTTTGATGCTCATTCAAAAGAAGTTATAACTGTCAATGGTACATCCAACCCCACACCTGTGTAGAATGAAGTTATTCAGTGTAGCGTGCTTGGCCCGCTCTTATTTTGTTCTTCTGTCAACAAAGTAATCATTTTTTTTCGTATGGCAGGTCCTTCATATACGCTGACGATTTAAAAATTGCCTATCGGTTTTAACCGATAGATCGCAACATCGGGCTCGACCTCTTAAAATAGATCTTCAGGCCCTTGCCTGGAGGTGCTGCAGATAG